GGGGGGGGGGGAAGGGGAAGGGAGCTAGTGGAGCTAGTGGACATGTATTTTAGAAATCAGGGTAGTGTATTTTGAAAGTAGATGCGAAGAAGAGAACATGGTTTTGTCGAGCGGCAGAGTTCTTTTTGCGGCTGTGAGTGGTGGTTGGTTGGTTACTGTTTGGCTGGGAGACTCAGGTAGCACAGATTGACGAAGCTGTGACTCGGGTGCACACTCGAGCATAACTGTGGGTAGGAAAGTGTGGTCCCCATGAGGACATGTTGTGTATATGTCTGTCCGTTTGTGAGGACTTGTGAACAAAAGCGTAACTGCGGTTAGGAAAGTATGGTCAGGATGGCATGTTGTGTATGTCTCTGTCCATTTGATTGAGAGCTTGTGAACAAACACAAGCTTTAACTGTGGTTAGGAAAGTGTGGTGACTGTGGTCAGGGTCAGGAATCAGGATGACATCTTGTGTATATCTCTGTTTGTTAGAGCTTTCTGAAACCATTCTGAGGATTTGAATTTACTAAATTACTATGATAAGATAAAGCCTGGATGCAATGGAAATATATGGATGTGAAGAGGGGGTTCCGTCGGCAAAAAAGGGGTTGTTCCGTGGAATATAGAGAGAGTTATTGACAAAGTACGGCCGGGGGGTGGTTTTGAGTTCTTGGGGGTGTTATGAGGAGCACAACTTATGGCAGGGCAATGTGGTAACCAAGCCGCATGCAGGACTGCTATAAGGGTGGGGTGTATTCAGCAGGCTAGCTCAGTTGATTATGCATGCAAGGGTGGCGCATTCAGCGGGCTATAGCTCAGTTGATTAGGCATGCAAATCAACTGGCATTCAGAAGGGTCCGGGGTTCAATCCCCGTGGGCTTCATGTACTAACCACTTGGGCTCGGTCAGTACTTGCTGCGTGCAACGTGGCTAGAGATATCTCCAAAGACAATACTCTAGCCAAGTTGCGCGCAGCAAGTACTGACTGAGCCCAAGTAGGTAGTACATGCAGCGGGCTAGCTCAGTTGATTAGGCATGCAAGGGTGGCAGAGGGTTTATTCGTGAAAGGTACACCTAGTTCCGGACAGAGTGGGTGGTGGTTTCAATTATGTGAGCTGAGTTTTTACGCTCGACCCAAGCAGTTCATTCTGCACTGTCGGGGTCCGGTGTCGATCACCAGTCACGACACCAAACACACTGTAACCTGTGGTCGCCAGTCGCACACGCACCCCAATTTCCCGATTGGGAGTCGGGACCACCAGGCCGCAGCCCCACGCCCGTGATTCGTTCATGGGGCTGAGGCCTGGTGGTCCCGACTCGCAATCGGGTAATTGGGGTGCGTGTGCGACTGGGGACCACACGTTACCTTGTGTTTGGTGTCGTGACTGATGGCCGCAGCCCCATGAACGAATCACGGACGGGCTGCAAGGACAAGGTTATGGGGGATGCCGGGCTAGCTCAGTTGATTAGCCATGCCAGGGTGGCAGAGGGTTTATCCGTAGAAGGTAGACAAAGTTACGGACAAAGTGGGTGGTGGTTTCAGTTACGTGGAATCCGACGTGCTTAAAAAAAAAGCCGCACTACTTTGAGCTAAGGGCAAATGTGAGGGGTGCATAGGAATGATCCTTCTGGACATGCGTTAAAATTGGAAACGATACACAGAAAGAGAAGATTCGCAAATGGCCCCTGCACACGGATGACACCCTTGAATCGAGAAATGGACCAAACTTAAATAAAAAATAATAAAAGAAAGGGGTGCCTAGGAACTGCTTGTGGTGGTGGGTTGGCTAGCTGCTTAAACCACCAGTACTTCCTAAAGTCGTGCCCGTTAACGCGCAACGATTTTAGGAAACGTACGGGCCACTACAGGAGCGCCCAAATTCATCCAACTGGAAACGTTTCTACTCTTTTTTTTTTCCGCGGCCGATAGCTGGGCCAAGTATTGGTGGTTTAAGGACCGTCCTCCTTTCGGGTCTACTACTACTCACACAAGGCCCTTGCAATCGCAAAATCAGCGACCAGATCGAGTCCTCCTTTCGGAATGGCTCGATCAGGCCACAGATTTTGCGGGTCTACGATTTTGCGCGTGGGCCCGATATGAGTATGCTCTTACTTCAGCAGCAGCAGCAGCAGCAGCAGCAGAATCAGAGGAGCGAGTACCCGCCCCCAAAAAGAACAGAGGTGAAAGAATGAGTGGGTAGGGGACGGTATGGTTTGCTTGTGCTCTTCTGGAAGACCATGATTTCCCATGTATGACTTGGAGATGGAGATCCAATGCATTTGGAAGTACGAGTCTTCCCCCCGAATAGAACGTGCTGTTGTTGTGATCCCTGTATCTTGGCTGCAAGTTGAATACAGGTTACCCACCACCACGAGCAGCACTGAGGAGTTGGGCAGGCACTTCCTTTTTTCCCCGAATACAACGTACGGTCATTATACCTGTATTTGGGTCATCTTTCAGTCTAAATACAGCAGCTATAATGACCTTATCATCCGTATGTTGTATCGGGGAGGGGGGGGGGGGGGGGGNGGGGGGGGGGGGGGGGGGGGGGGGGGGGGGGCGAGCAGGTAGTTCGCTGAAGAAGCTGGTTACAGCCAAGTGCACTTGCACATCTGCCTTCTTCTCAGCAACCTCTGTATATGACTCTGTGTAAGGGGCGCTGAACCTGGATGCCAGCAGCAGGTGTGGCTCCCCACCTATTGTTCGAACTTCGGAGCCAACAGATAGCCTGCTCGTCGCGCACCATCACTAGCAGGGCCAACTGGTGTTTTCTTTCAAAGAAAACAAAAAGAAAGAAAGACTGCAAGTTGGCCCTAATACAAGCCATCACTACCTACCAGGGTCAACTGGTGTTTTCTTTCAAAGAAGGAAAACAAAAAAAAACAAAAAAAAAAAAACTGCAAATTGGCCCTAATACAAGCTATAAAATGAACATATTTTACTTCCGGGAAACTTAGGAAAGTCAATTAGTAAGTTATAGTTCCGGACCATCACTAGCAGGGCCAACTGGTGTTTTCTTTCAAAAAAAAAAAAAAAAAAAAAAGACTGCAAGTTGGCCCTAATACAAGCCATCACTACCTAGCAGGGCCAACTGGTGTTTTCTTTCAAAGAAGGAAAAAAAAAAAAAAAAAAGACTGCAAATTGGCTCTAATACAAGCTATAAAATGAACGTACGTTCTACTTGAAGTTCCGGGAAACTTAGGAAAGTCAATTCGTAAGTGAGAGTTCAGTAAACACCTAGGCTACCAGAGTGGCCCCGGGTCACTTGCCCGGTCAGGCCAAAAACAATAAATAAAAAATAAACATAAAAAAATATATATGTAGTTTGAACTTTTTAAATTTTATTTTGTATTATAAATTTGGTGCAGAATTTCGATGCGACCCTCAGGCTGAGGCAAATTGGCCCTCATACAAGCTATAAATTGACCGTACGTTCTTCTTCCGGGAAACTTAGGAAAGTCAATTAGTAAGTGGGTTGTTTGTTTTAAAAAAAAAAAAAAAAAAAAAAGAGGAAAGTCAATTAGTAAGTGAGAGTTCGCTAAACACTCCATTACCAAAGATCTGATAAAGTGCTGGGACATTTACTCCCCAGTCTCTCCTGCATACCAACATAATTACAAACCATACTTACACTACCTTTGTTTATCACTGTGACATTGAATTTTACAGGGACGCTGGACCCGATTTTCCAGCAGGTGGTGGTCCCCACCAATAGATGGAGCCTCCCTGACGATGCTAGTGGTGTCTGCTGCTATCAGCACCACGAGCAAACGAAGGAAAGTCAATTAGTCAGGCATTTTTAATGTCGCAGAAATGGGAAGGGTAAG